GCAGTTAAGAACAGATGCCGAGTTAGAATTTGAAGAATGGATTATGCTATGTGTACCCCAAGTTTTGTACCCCAATTTGTACCCCGCAGTTTTGCACCAACACTTTGTGTTGGTGTAAAACTAATTTTTGTTAAATGCACCAACATTTGTGTCCGTGTGAATTTTTATTAACGCACCAACACTTGTGTCGGTGTAAACCATCGAAATGTTTGTGCAAACCTGTGGTGTACAAATGGGATATATTTTTTGGTGTAAGTGTAGCATGGTCCTCTTCTTCTCCTTCTCCTTCTCCACTTCTTCGTTCTTCCTCCACCACTCACACTTATTTCTTCTTCTTCTCCTTACATATTATTATTATTATTATTATTATTATTATTACTACTACTATTATTATTATTATTATAATTATTATAATTATTATTATTATATCATTATTATTATTATTAGTATTATTATTATTACCATTATTATTATTATTATTATTATTATTATTATTATTATTTAGTTGTTTTACTCCATTAATCTTTCACAATCTCCATTAATGTAAAAAAACAAAAAATTACTGTTTGGTACCCCTACTATTCTCCCATCCCCGAGTGCCCCCTCAGACCCGGCAAGACGGTCACTGAAAAGAGGTAAATTGGACTTTAATCGCAGATGTAAAATGAACTATACTCGCAAAGAGATACTCAATACAGAATTGTTCTCTCTCTATCCTCTAGCTCCCCACTACCCACCCACCCCCACCCCCCACCCCCCTAAATCCCAAAACGCCAAATGCTACCGTTTTATTCCCTAAAAGAATGATGTATTATTATTTTTCCAAATTATTATTGTTAATATTAAAAATTAATATTAATAATTTTTTAATATTAAAACTAATTATTATTATTTATTACGAAGTATAATTTTCTTCTACCTCTACTATTTATTATTATTATTATTATTATTATTATGAAGAAATATTTTCTTCTTCTATTATTATTATTCATTATTATTATTATTATTAAAAATTAAAAATTAAGGGTGAGTGGTGGAGGAAGAACGAAGTGGAGAAGGAGAAGAAAAAGAAGAAAGAAGAAGAAGAAGAAGAAAAAAAAGAAAAAAAAGGAAGAGGAGGAGGAAGAACGAAGAAGTGGGGATGGTGGTGGTGGAATGATGATGAATGGTGCACTTAACGGAGAAAGGGGGTGGGTGGAGAATGGATGGAAAATCTCCTCTTGGTATATTTTTTTATAATTTAGTGTACCTGAGAGTATTTTTAAAAATCAGGGGTACCTGGCAGTTCTTACCACAAAATCAGGGGTATCTGGCAGTTCTTACCACAAAATAAGGGATACCTGACAACAATTTTTTGCCTTTGAGCTGGTCTCATTTGATTTTATTAAGTTTTGAGCTAGTCTCATTTGATTTGATTTAATTTGATACTGCGTATGATTCTAGTTAAATTTAAAATTGTTTCTGATATGATATAATTTGATTTGATTTCAATAATAATAAGTACTCGTAATAAAAAAAAGGTTGGAGAGAACAATGCTTTTAAGTGTGTGTGTCTAAAAAATTTGCAACTAATATTCTAATATATGCAAAATAATAATACTCCGTAAGTTAGCACAGCATTAAAATCAAAGTGTTCCAAAATAAGGTTTAAAATTGAAATTGTTTGAGCAAAGAAAAATGTTCATTTACTGCCGTAAGTTCAAATAATTTAAATGAAAGAATTTTAAAATAGCAAAATACAGTTTATAGAGCACATCATTACTTCAAGAGTTCTAGTCTAGATTCTATGGGGCAAGGCTATGTTGACACTGATTTCTAGTGTCAACGGATAATACTCGCTGATTTAAAGTTTTTTCGGTGCTTCGTCTACAAAATTGATAGTTCTACCTCCATAACCTTCTCTTTAAACCTCCTACCGTATCCCACTTAAGTTCGACCCCTGTACCCCCACCCAAGACCCCCCTTTTACTCCCCTCAAAATGTGTGCCTATTATGTATACATAATGGCCAGACATTTGGAGATGGTAAAAGGGGATCTAGGGTGGGAGTGCAAGGGTCAAACATGGGTGGGGTTGGGGTTTAGGGAGGGGTTAAGGTAGATATGAATCATTAATTTTTTTATTTCAACCTTGCCCTTCTATTTCATCTATTATACGGAGTATATAGCAAATTTATAAACCATTATTTGGTGGAGACGACTATTTTAAGATAGAGCTTCCCTATATACTAAGTGTAGACTCTACCCTTTACCACTAAAATGTTATTAAAACATAATTTACTTCTTCTAGTAAAAATTTATTTTAAAAAAACTAGCTGGTAGTGGGATTTGAATTCGTAACTTCTTACTCATCAGGACTCTTAAGGAACTTATTCAACCAAAAAAGCTCAAACTTTTGGTTGAATGACTAGGATATGTTTTACTCTAACAAATATGTTGACATTATTGGTATTCTAACTCCTATTTTAGAAATAAATCATGGAGCTCTTATTTTGGCACTTACTATATGTTCTACTTATAGTTTAATCTTTTCTCGTAACCTCACTCAGAAAACTCGGCTCAACATGCGTGCTTGACTCCAATACCGAGCATAACGTTTTTTTAAAATAAAATGTCAAGTATTGTGTAACTAGTTCTGTTCTGTTTAAGACTGGTATTGTTAAAATAAATATATAATAATAAGTTTTATATTTATAATTTCACATAATCTAAGTCCAATTGAAAGAATCATCTCCATCCATTCTGTAGAAAGAATGTATCATTCTTGATCAATGCATTATATTCATCACACATAGCAGCATGCCAGTTTGGATCTTTAAGGGCACTACGGTAAGTTGGGGGTAAGGGGGAGATGGGTGCAGAGATATTGAGGTTGAGGATTTGTTTTGGACAGAAGACACCCGCTTTGGAGCGGGTTTGCATGGGATGGATGTTTGGTGGGGAGGGGGGTGGATCTGCCGTGGGCTGGGTTGGGGTGTCGGGCGGGTTTT